ACAGCCACCGGTCATAATTATGTTAAAATACATTACTGATTACATAGAATAATATAAGTAAATCAAAATATCATTACAAAAATGGAGTATCTTTTATCTTTTTAACGGTCTTAATGTTGCTGCTTAGGTAGTGGAGTACCTCGTGGTTGGTTCAGTTAAAAGCAAACGCCACCATTTTCACCACTAACTCCCAGCTTTTCTCCTGTCCAGTCCTCACGTTTCCATTTTTTTCTGCCCTTCGTGTGTGAGTGGAGGAGTTTTTCCAATATATGGGAATGGGAGTGACGTCTGGTTTTTGTAGTGCCATCAAATTCTTGGATACTGTTTTACGCTATACCCACTTAATACTGCCAGTTTTGTGTAACAGAAATACTGCACAGTATACCTGTGACACTGAATAATCTCTCTCTCTCTCCTCTTTATTTCAAATCATTCTTTCTTTCTCTCTCTTCTGTGTCTTGTACTGCTCGTTTCTGCTATAAAACCCCCATCTTTTTTCGGCCAATAGTTGATAACACATTCCTTTACTAGCCTCATACCACAAAATAGGAGATGGGTGTTCTAAAAAAGACTCTTCTTTTACTCTTTCTTTGTGTTTTTCTTGGAGATATTAGCCTCTGCTTTTCTTCCAAGGTAAATAAACTTTGGCTCTGTAGTCTGTATGTTGATATGGGTTTTTATGTGCTGTTATTGAGGGTGTATATTTGAATGATGTTTTGAAATGATGAATAGTTAGTAAAGTTGTGTTCTTGGTTTTTTTTTTTTTCCAGTTATATGTGGTGTACATGGGAAGCAAAGATAGTGATGAACACCCAGATGAGATTTTGAGGCAAAACCATCAAATGCTGACTGCTATTCATAAAGGAAGGTCAGTTCTTGTTACCTTTAGCTATGAGGGTTTTTCCCTTTTTTGAGCTGGTTCATTGGGTTTTACACTGGTTGCTTTTAGCAAAAAAACTGAAGTTGTAACTTTACAGCATTGAACAAGCCAAGACTTCACATGTATATAGTTATAGGCATGGTTTTAAAGGCTTTGCAGCCAAGTTGACTGAGGCACAGGCTTCTGAAATATCCAGTAAGCCCATGCCAAATGTTTTTCTTTAAGGTAATGATATGAATAAGTACTGAGAAATTTGTCTTTAATGTTAAAATAAAACAGAAATGCCTGGAGTGGTATCCGTGTTTCCAAATACTAAGAGGAGCCTACACACAACTCATTCATGGGATTTTATGGGGCTCAGTGATGATGAAACAATGGAAATTCCAGGTTTTTCTACCAAGAACCAAATTAATGTAATCATTGGTTTCATTGATACAGGTGGTTTCTCTGTTCCTTTTGCTTTAATTATCTTAAATTCTAGCAATCTTTTCCGAGTTAGGTGAAAGATATGATCGTTTAATGATGGAATGCACCAACCAAGTTAGTGTTGGTCCCTTCATTTAATGTATTGTCACTTAAAAGGGCTCTTGTCTCTGTTAGTTTTCTTAAGAAGAGTACAATAACATGACTTTGCAAAAGTGCTAAGTTTGTCATTTGGGTACATATGGCTGAACCTGAGGAAAGTAGTTCCTTTCATCAATCAATTCTTGTTTCAATCATTTTCGAATGATGAAATATGTTTGCTTAGATTTTTTTAAAACTCAAGTTTATGCAATTTCTTAGCTTCCCAGTTCATCTTTCTCACCTCTTCCCATATTTTGCCATTTGCATTTATGCCTAACAGTGTGCTTGAACTACTTGTAAATGTTACTTTATGGGAAGAGCCACTATACATTAGAGTGACATGTTTCAATGCAAATATTATCTCTGTTCACAACCTTATCAGTTTATCCTCAACCTGGTCCCCAGCTCCACTGTTTCCCTTGTTTTTCGAGCTAATTAGAACTTGAGGTTAAGCTCTTAAGATATTTAATGAAACAGGAATTTGGCCTGAGTCTCCAAGTTTTAGTGATACCAACATGCCTCCAGTGCCAGCTGGATGGAAAGGACAATGCCAATCAGGAGAAGCATTCAATGCCTCTATATGCAACAGGTTTTCTTTTGATTGGCAACCATCTCTTCTTTTGTTATTTAGATGATAAGTGCAATATGATTTGTCTTATGTAGGAAAATAATTGGGGCAAGATATTATATGAGTGGCTATGAAGCTGAAGAAGAAAATGGGAAGACCATGTTTTACAAGTCTGCTAGGGACAGTTCTGGTCATGGGAGTCACACAGCTTCAACAGCAGCGGGGCGTTACGTAGCTAATATGAATTACAAAGGTTTGGCAAATGGAGGAGCCAGAGGTGGTGCCCCAATGGCCAGGATAGCAGTGTATAAAACCTGCTGGAGTTCTGGTTGCTATGATGTTGATTTATTGGCTGCATTTGATGATGCAATTAGAGATGGGGTTCATGTCATTTCTCTATCTTTGGGCCCTGATGCTCCCCAAGGAGATTATTTCAATGATGCCATTTCTGTGGGGTCATATCATGCTGTTAGCCGCGGAATACTTGTGGTGGCTTCAGTTGGAAATGAAGGCAGCACTGGTTCAGCCACAAATTTAGCTCCTTGGATGATCACAGTTGCAGCCAGTTCAACTGATAGAGATTTTACTTCTGATATTTTACTAGGAAATGGAGTTCGGCTCAAGGTAATCCCAGTTTTCGACAAGTTTACATGTTATTATTATTCAATTTCTATTTTCTAATTAAGTTGTGGATATTTGGAAGGGTGAAAGTCTTAGCTTATCTCAAATGAATACATCTACAAGAATCATACCTGCTTCTGAAGCTTATGCTGGATACTTCACTCCCTATCAATCCAGGTGAATCATAAGGTACTTTCGCTGTTTGTTAAATGTAGATATGTATGCATTGACAATTATCTTAATTTACTTTTTTCCTTCCCTCTCTTTTCCACTAGTTATTGCTTAGATAGTTCTTTGAATAGAACTAAGGCCAAAGGGAAGGTGCTTGTGTGCCTACATGCTGGAAGCTCAAGTGAGTCAAAGATGGAGAAAAGCATTATAGTTAAAGAAGCCGGTGGAGTTGGGATGATCCTTATAGATGACGCAGACAAGGGTGTGGCCATCCCTTTTGTCATTCCTGCAGCAACTGTTGGGAAAAAGATTGGAAACAAGATCCTAGCTTACATTAACAATACACGGTTCACTTCCTTCTTCTTGACTTTTTGATGTTGTTAACTATCATCTCTTCCCAATCTCACATCTTATTATATTAACAGCCTCCCCATGGCAAGGATTCTCTCTGCTAGAACCGTTTTGGGAGCTCAACCTGCTCCTCGAGTAGCAGCATTTTCTTCAAGAGGTCCTAATTCTGTAACACCAGAAATTTTGAAGGTAATTTGTGCGCTAAAAATAGTAATATAGGGACTTAATTTCAACTGCCACTTGTTTTCAACAATGATCTCTCTCTGCCTTTGTCATGTAGACCAACAAAGTTTTATGTTGCATCCTGATATTTACTTCCTGGATCGTCAATGTGGTTGTGGATTAGTTCTTTGTTACTTTGCATTTTCTTTGGTTCTTACCTTATTTGAGGATTTGGCTTTTTCTTGCAAGTAATTTCCTGGCTGATTTGCCTTTGTAGCCTGATATTGCAGCTCCTGGATTAAATATCCTGGCAGCATGGTCTCCAGCAGCTTCTACTAAGTTGAACTTCAATGTACTATCCGGAACTTCTATGGCTTGCCCCCACATAACAGGAGTTGTTGCCTTGTTAAAAGCTGTGCATCCATCTTGGTCTCCCTCTGCAATTAAATCCGCGATCATGACGACAGGTAGAATAAAAGCTTTTACATAATCTAACTCTTTCATTCAAGCCTTCAATGCACTAATCTCATCAATATTAATGCAGCTAAACTGTCAGATAAGCATCACAAACCCATAATAGTAGATCCTGAAGGGAAGAGAGCTACTCCATTTGATTTTGGTTCTGGCTTTGTTAACCCTACGAATGTCCTGGATCCTGGTCTTATATACGATGCACAGCCAGCAGATTACAGAGCATTTCTTTGTTCAATTGGTTATGATGAGAAATCTCTGCATCTGATTACAAGGGACAATAGCACCTGTGATCAAACCTTTGCATCACCAAATGGACTAAATTATCCCTCCATCACAATACCAAACCTCAGAAGCACATATTCAGTAACTCGAACTGTTACTAACGTGGGAAAAGCAAGAAGCATTTACAAGGCAGTTGTCTATGCACCTACGGGTGTCAATGTCACTGTGGTTCCCCGAAGATTAGCCTTCACTAGATATTACCAGAAGATGAATTTTACAGTGAACTTCAAGGTGGCTGCACCAACACAGGGATATGTATTTGGTTCTTTGACATGGAGGAACAAAAGAACATCGGTAACATCTCCACTTGTTGTCAGAGTGGCACATTCCAACATGGGTATGATGGTATAGTTGAGGTCAAGTGCTATTTATTGGGATAAAAAGTAACATATACTGCACAAAGTAGCTGTTGAAAATGGTTGCAGCAGCAAGAATTCAGTATCACTCTTGATAATCCCTTGAAATCAACACAAAATTCTTAGTAAAATACTTGTAATTAGTTTTAGAATATGAATAACTAGTAATTCTTTATTCCATTTATCACTAGTTTTGAGTTTTAGTCCTTACTACCTAGCTACCTTGTTAACTTTTCATAGCTTCTTGACAGGCATCATACTGCAAATTCTTTTAATTGTCTTGTAATTTTACATTATGGATTGGCATCTCTCCGTGTCTTTGCTTCTATCTCACCTAGTAGTTCATTCTTTAATGGAATATCTTATCATGTTGGTGGTATTAAACCCAAAAAACAAACAAAAAGCAATTTTCTTCTCAAACTTGGTTAAGTACAAGTCAAGAGACTTTCAACTGATCCAACATGCCAGACTCCACTGCAGGTTGAGTAAGATAACTTGAACAGTGTCTGATCCAGAAATAGACTTGAAAATAAGATTAAGGAGGGGGTTGGGAGGAATTTTAGACCGGGTATTCCCAATAAACATCCAATCAATATTATATAAGGTATTGCTACAATCTCCACTATCAAATGACATCTCAATTTTATGCTAGCAGAACTTGGATAGTTGTACACAATTCTGTATCTATATCCCCAATTTACTGAAACACCCATTTAAACCATCATAATCGCTGGCCTTGGGATTGAGTGTCTGAAGGATCAACCAGGCCTTCCAACACAACAAGTTCATCAAGGAGTGTTAGTTTCTCATCTTCAAGGGCCTTAATCTCATCTTCGGCTTCACTCAATTCTTTACCAAGAGCAAAACTTTCCTCCTCCAGCAATAAATACTTTCTCCTTAATGCTCGATATTCATTTCCGGAAGTGGAAGTATCCGGCAAGAATTCAGGTGTTGATTTGTCGGTATGTTGGAATAATGGGGAAATTTCGTTTGATGGTACTCTTTTGGTGGGTTTTAGTCCATTTTGAATTGGCAGTGCATGAAAATCTTGTATCCTTTTTGCCTTATTCCCTTCTTTTTGCAGCACTGGAGCCTTCTGTTGTGATGTTTTCTTTTTTCGCATTTTGGAAGCTGACGCTTCCTCAAGTCCTCTAGGGTCTTGCATATCTCTATGTTTAATCTGCAAGCATAAACAACTAGCTATATCAGAAGGGTGCAAGTTGAAGAGAGCTGCAATGGTTATAATTATAAACCACAAGAATAATTAGAATCCAACTTCCAAACATCAGCAACAATTGCTAAAAGAAAAGTCATTTTGGTTAGCTCTGTCAGCCATGTTCATGTAAGGTCATGAAAAGCACCGAGTTGGTAAATGCTCATCCAACCAGAATTTGGTTTATATTTTTAGGTTCTTTCGTTCAGTCTCTACATGCTGACTGCGATCCCCCACCCGATTCCACACATGAAAACAAAAGGACTCTAAAAAGATAATGAGTAATNGGGGGGGGGGGGGGGAGGTGGTTGCAGAGGGAGGTAGGAGGATCCCCTCAGGAATTAACAATAAGTTCCGATTAGTAGAATAGGAAAGTCCAGACAAGAATAATGCCAATGTGATAGTTAAGGCATCGAAATCTAACAAGCAGAGGAGTAGAAAGGTCTCAAAGTAAAACCGATAAAAGAAAGCATCCGAAATAGCATCAGACAGTTAAGAGAGCAGCACCGATGATCCTATGCCTCCAAAAATAAGAATAAAAGAATAAATGAATTCCAGGTAACATACTTCAAAAATCGCTTACCAGTTTTATCAATTTCTAATAATTTCAAAGATATCAATATATCATAGTGGGGAAAAATTGAAGAGGACACCACAAATAGCATTTTTTTCCCGTTATACAAAACTTTGCAAATTCAGGGCACGCTGAAAAATCTCTCCCATGTCTAAAGTTTTGTCCTTCATTTGTTCTACCTTATCCATACATTTTAAAGTTTTACTTGAGCAAGACAATTTCATGATGCACTACTTCAAGATGCGAGCATATAATACCAAGGTCACACTGTTTTTGAGTTTTTTCTTTCACCCAAAATATGTTATCGTCTATTCTGGTCTGTATCGTTGGTTTTAGTCTTTAACACAGAAGATAAAGCTTTACGTATAGCCCATCTAGAGGACGATGGGTTAAGCCCAGCCAAGCAGTAAGTCTCCTAGCATAACAAGAAGAATGTAGGATAAGAATTACAAGTAAATTTGTAAGTTATGAGAACTGATATTCCAGTCACTTTATTATATTTCTGGTTGGATGTAGAAAAGCAAGAAGGGCTCGGAAGCTATCACAGCTTGTTACTAAAGCATCCACAAATCATATGATTCCTATATCGAAGCAACCAATATTCTCTGACATGTAACAGAAATATCCCTGTGTATACTTAAAACAATGACCTACAATGATTCAACAAAATAGGTATTGCGTCAATAAGGGAGGGACATTTCATTCAGATCTTTGTTATAAGAAAGTCAATTTTCTAGATTCAAACCACAATGGCCTCAGACTTTAGTTTTTTCAAATCTTAGAAAGGAAATTCATTTGTCAATTCTAAAGACTAGACATGCTTATAATGCCAGACATGCAGGCAAAATATCGAAATTCCACGTTGAATAAACCTATACTAACAACTGCAAGTTAAAGTCAATATTTTGACCAGAACTCTCTCTAGTAGCAATTAACAAAAATTGAATGGTCACATTACAGGGAAAATTCCTCCAATGAGACTGTCCTTTTTACAAGTGGGTATAAGATATTTCAATGAGAATCCTAAGAGAACTCTCTCTAGCTTTAAGAATCCTAAGAGAAGATTTCACAGTTTGAACAGCAAGATTGACTTTGATGAGAAATGGGAAGCATCTCAATGACAAAACATTTCAAATTTTCAGTGCAAACCTTAGTCTTGAATGACTCTAAATAAAAAGATAAAAAACCCCAAAAGGATCAAACTCGAGCCAAAAAGAGTATTGCACAAAAGCGCTAAGAGTTTGAAGCTAGACAGTGACTTGGGGAGATTCTAAATTTCAATAGTTATATGTGAAGATTTGAACGAATACCTGTGGAAAATACATGAATATTCTAAAACAGAATGAATGGGATATATCTACTCTAGTGTGTGGAAGAATTATTGTGGCTCTTTTAGTACGTTCTCTCTATTTTTCTTTTAGAAAACATTAGCAATCTTCTTCCTCCAATGTACATCATTATTTTGACATAAACATGTTAAAATCCTACTTTGTGATTAAATTAAAAAACCGTTTCTGTTCCTTAGCCATTTTATCTAGGAAGCTCGGAATAGGCTTATCATGAAATTAGGATAATCCGCAAGCTAATCTAATTAAAACACAAAACCCAGCAGAGTAGTGGCCATTGTTGCCCTCCTTATCCGGGCAAAACACAAAGCAGATGAATAAATCGAGTTAACCCAAATAATAATCCTCTTAAATTAAGGTAAAAGGAGAAGACAAATTCAACTGGGTCTATGAACCCAAGAACCCAACTAAAACTAGCAAAACAAGTAATAGGATCATATTATAAAAGCACCTCTTTTTCCCCTAAAATTACCTGTAACTGTCAATCTCCTTGAAATATCGGCAAATTCAATTGGGTCTGTGAAGTCAAGGCCCAAGAACCCTAAAATACCTGTAATTAGCGGCAAAATTGAGTGGCTGTCAATCTCCTTGAAATCTCAACTTCTCAGAGCTTACAGCGAAGAAGAAAGGGTTGGTGGGTTTTTGCAGTTTCCAAATTCCAATTTTGGACCTAAGCACTAAGCGAGAAAAGGAACCCAGTTGATAACGTTTCTTCTTCTTCATAGGACACTAGGACTACCTTTTGTCTCTCCAATTTTTTCACTTCTGGTAATTACCCTTTACACTTGCCTCCACTATATTTCAAAATATTGTATACTAGTATTAGTATCCGCACTGATCATGTCAAATATTTAAGTTATTTGAATTATAGGTAAATAATCTTAAAATCTGCACTTTCTCAGTAAATATAGATAATTATTGAATATTAACTACATGAAAATAATTAATTATTTCTTCTATTTTTTTATACTATTCTTGTCGGTGTTATTAGATCCTAAAAATAGTTCGAAAGTAAAATAATAACTCATATTTATGGCAAAACAATCAAATATTGAGACAATGAATGACTATTTGGATAAGACTTAACTCTTTTACTACTACTTGAACTCTTATTTGGTGTATTGATATACCTTAAACAATATTTCTTTCTTTAAATTTCAGTTTCTAAAACATTATATTTCAATAATAATTATTTTTATAATAATATAATTGAAAATATTATTCTTAATTCAAAACTCATTTTAGTTGGCTATCTAAAATATAAAAAATTCTTTAGCTAGTGAATTTTTTTTACTCCATTTTGATATTTGATATTAACCATGTTAAATATTTGAGTTATTTGACTTATATGTAAATAACCTTAACATTTAAACCTTCTAAATAATTATAGATAATGGTCAGATATTAATTAAGAAACACTACATGAAAAAAGATTAACATTTTTTCAATCCTCGTAGTGATAATTTTATTTTTGCACTATTCTCATAGGTGTCATTGGAACCTAAAAATAGCCACAAGTGAAATAATAACTCATATTTATGGCAAAACACAAAGGTTGACAAGATATAAACGATTCTTTGATTACGACGTGACTCTTATACTACGACTCGAACTCTTATTTGGTATGATTTTATCTTTCAAAAAATATTTCTGTTTTGAAATTTCAATTTCT